GTTGGTCCTAATGGTTTACTGTAGATGCATACAGTTATCAGAAAGAAAAAGTATGCCATACATTTCTCTTGTGCTGCTTCTTGTGGGATATTATGAGTACCCTATCTCTTAGATATCAACCATTTGGAAAACTTAAATTCCTACAAATATTTTTGGGCTATGATTTCTTTATCCTAGTAAGGATGCATTAGCTAGCACATGCTCTTATGATGGGGTGTCTGTGATCAGTGTGAGTTGGTTTTTTCTTAAAGATTCTCCTGAGTAATTGTAATAATCAGATTTATTGATATTCCTAGTATTACTAAATGTTATCACACATTTAATCATTATCCAATTTGATGGAATTGTTTAATCTTGAAGAGAATCTTCTATAATTATGCATATTAGGTGTTTTTCTTGGTTTTATGCAGTCATTTATAACTTGGTTGTTCTTGGACAATAATAGAAGGAAACAATGAGGAAAAACATTAATAGACAAAGTTCACAATTTAAAAGTTCATACGACGAAAAACACCAACTTGTAGCTTGCTTTTATTTGAAACCCATAATTTACATTGAACTAAGTAAAAGAAAGATTAAGAAAGGTAAGTCCCATGGAGCGGTTGTTAAACCAACTATGTTGTATTGGTCGGAGTGTTGGTCAGTCAAGAACTCGCATCCTCAGAAGTTGAAGGTAACATAAATGAGGATGCTTAAATGAATGTGTGGGCACATTAGAAGAGACAAGATTAGAAATGAAGATATATGAGGCCAGGTGGGAGTAGCTTCATTGGTGGACAAGATGCGGGAAACAAGGCCAAGATGGTTCGAGCATTCGAAGAGGAGGAACACAAATGCCCTAGTGAAGAGGTGCGAGATGTTGGCAGTGATAGGTTTGAGGAAAGGTAGAGGTAGATCGAGGAAGAATTGGGGAGATGTGATTTTACAATAGATGAAACATCTTCAACTAAATAAGGATATGACTTTTAAATAGGAGAGCATGGAGGTCGAGGATCAGGGTAGACGGTTAGTAGGTAGTTGAGCATTTTCTCTCTTCCTCGTGGTAGATCAGGGTCTAGTCTGGAGTATCTATTTGTTTCCTTACCAGTTA